AAGAAATACTTCTGAAAAATTTACACTATGAGAAATATAAAAGTAATTTAAATGTATCATTAAAGGAAGACATGTAGTTATCTCTGAAACAATCTTAAATTCTGAGGATTGTTAGATTAAAGATATAACTGAATTGTTCGGGGGAGTCATAAGGACGATTAAATTATTCTGAGGTTAATAATATGTATATTGATGTCACCTTAAAACAAAGGAACGGTGAGGAATGAAGATGACACAAAGGTAGATTTCAGCTTTTCTTTTTTTTTTTAAGTCCTTTAAGATATCACTCTGCATCTATGAAAGATTCTTTGAAGACTTATTTTAAGCTCAACCTCCCTCTCTTCTCCAGGTTTGGTGCTTCTCATTTCTTACTCTTTCCTGTCTCCATTTCCCCTTACCAAGAAGTTGGGGGAAAGAGGGAAAATGACCACGTAAAGCCTTGTTAGTTTGCTGTAAACTCATTAAACATTCATTATTTAGCTGGGCACGGTGGCTCATGCCTGTAATCCCAGCACTTTGGGAGGCCCAGGTGGGTAGATCACCAGAGGTTGGGAGTTCGAGACCAGCATGGCCAACATGGGGAAACCGTGTATCTACTAAAAATACAAAAATTAGCTTGGCGTAGTGATGAATGTCTGCAATCCCACTTACTTGGGAGACTGAGGCAGGAGGATCACTTGAACCTGGGAGGCAGAGTTTGCAGTAAGCCAAGTTGCACCATTGCACTCCAGCCTGGGCGACAGAGTGAGACTCTGTCTCAAAAACAACAACAACAACAACAACAACAACAACAACAAACATTCATTTTTTGACTTAATTGTTGAACTTATTTCTTTGCATTCTGGGAAACTAGGTAACTCATTTATTTAGGCCTTCAAATCACAGTACTTTGTTTATATGCAACACGTTTTTGTATCCTGGATTACATGCTATCTTGGTCTCTAAAGAGAGTTGAAGGAGGAAGGAGAAATAAAAAGGATGGAGAATGTGGTCAGAGAGGTTTAAGGGCGTATGAAGAGGCAAAATTGTACAGAAATCCATGGAATTTTAGCTCAGTGTTACTTTCCCAGCAGAGCCTTGCTCTGTGCTTTTCCTTCTCTCTACCTCAACTATTAGTAAGAGAGGGTTAGTAAGGATGCCTGTTCCTACTGGTTCTATGTACCATGTAAAATTTTATAATGACATAACAACTATTAGTGGAACATGGTGGCTCACGCTTGTAATACTAGCATTTTGGGAGGCTGAGGAGGAAAGATTACTTGAGGCCAGGAGTTCGAGACTAGCCACATAGTGAGACACCCGTCTCTACTAATACTACTACTACTATGACTCCTACTCCTGCTACTATCAACTATAATTCACTGAACAGTTTCTAATGTATCAGATTTTTTCCTTGAAGATATGTATTATTGGAGATCATAAAAACTGTGTAAGTCATTACCATCACATTTTATCAATGAGGAAATTGAGGTTCAGAGAGTTAAGTAGTTTGTCATTTGGTCACTGGGTGACACAGATGCAAATTGAACAGACTGAACAGATTCCAAAACCAACTGTACATAATATTCCAGCTCTGTTGTCCCACCTAGAGGCGCGTCTATCTTGATGAGAGTCTGGGACCAAGTAGGAAGAGATGAAGCCACTGTGGCAAGTACATTAGGAAGAGATGTCTAGGGCCACATAGGTGTTTTCTCACTTAGCCTACAACAAGGGTCAGCACAAAAGCCCAGATTTTTTTAAATCAGAAATTACTTTTTGAAGTATGTTTCAATATGGTCAAAGAAAAGGATCATCATGGTGAACTGAAACTAACAGGTATAATGTCACAAAGACTATTATTTTTGAGGTTTATCAACACATGTTAAGCTGCCATTTAAAAGAGATAGCAAGTTGACTGGGTGTGGTGGCTATTGCCTGTAATCCCAGCATTTTGGGAGGCTGAGGTGGATCACCTGAGGTCAGGAGTTTGTGACCAGTCTAGCCAACGTGGCGAAACTCCATCTGTACTAAAAAAACACAAAAAATTAGCCAGGTGTGGTGGCAGGTGCCTGTAATCCCCAGCTACTTGGGAGGCTGAGGCAGGAGAATCGCTTGAACCTGGAGGTGGAGGTTGTAGTGAGCCAAGATCCCGCCAATGCACTCCAACCTGGGGGAAAAGAGTGAGACTTTGTCTCAAAAAAAAAAAAAAACCCAACAAAAAAAGAGATACAAGTCAAACACATTGAGAAATACATATAAAAATGGATCCCCTAGACTGAAGAGGAAGACACAAGAAAGTAGGCAGGAAAAAAAAAAAAAAAAAAAAAAACCTCCCTCAGAACAACTAGATTACAAAATAAAATTACCTGAATACAACATTTGAGCAGTGATTTTTCGTTGATATTTTCCTAGAGACCAATTTAGTAGTTTTAAATAAAATATTTGAAAGTTGTCTCTATATAACTGTATCACTAATAATCTACAATGCATGATGCTTATCATTACTATAAAAATTACAATTTTAAAAATGTCTTTCTTCATTTTCATTCGCCCACTCTTATTAAATTAAATAAAGTTAATGGTCATCAGGAAATCTTCCTATACTACTGAATGCCTTAAAGTCTTAATTTGGAGAATACATGTTGACCTAGAAGGAATGCATTCCAAAATTTTCCTTTCCATCACAGCGTGTGTCTTTTTATGTGTTGTGCCAGATAAGTAACTACAAGTTTATTTTGTCCTGTACAGAAGACAGGGAGGACTGTCCCAGCTGCAGGCTGTTCTGTGTGGGAAGAGAAAAGGCTGATGCTTAAAGGCCCTCCAAAGGAATCTACTTAAGCCTCATACCAGATTTGGGAGGACTGGTTATACCTGCCTAAATCCGGCACAGGAAAAACAGCACTCAAGCAATTCCTAGCTTGGGGTTACTAGGAATACAAGTTTTACCTTGTGACTCTGGTGTAACTTTGGTCTATTTTTCTCTTAGCAACAGCTCAGCTTGCAAACTAAAACATTGAGACACAAGTCAGTTACATCATTGAGGCCCCAGGAAAATCGATTGTTACCTTCCACTCTTCCAAACTTAATGGTTGTATTCCAGATGTCTCATAAGCAAGTGACTTGAGAGAGACAGGTGGTTGGAGGGCGGGGGGAGAAAAAGAAGGAGGAGAAGGAGAGGGAAGAAGGGGAGGAAGAACAGAGAGAAAGAGAGAGAGAAAAAAAGAAACAAGCAAGCAAAAAAGACAGGAAGTCTCCTAACCTTGAAGAGATTGGATATCCAGTGTCAGAAAATTTGGAAGGCATAGTCTTGGGAGTACTTATTTTATTTATGGTGGTAAATAAAGCCCTCAGGGAAGGTTATTAATTTATCTGTCCTATTTAGTATATTAAATTATACTACTTCACATTCTAGTGGCCTGAAAAAGTTAATTTACCACTTGAATGGCATGAATGATGAATACTTACACCAAGTCCTGGAATTTTCCAATGCTCAACAAACATTTAGTAGTTTTTGTTTAGGTCTCACTTTTTTGTTTTTATTGGTGTCTATGAAAAAGGAAAATAAAATTGTAACATTCTGTTGGGGCTAACAGGGCAGCTGTTGGCTAGGCTAAATGTCATCTTGGAGTAAGAAATACTTTAACTTAGGGCACTGATGCTGGGAGATGGAGAGAATATCAGCAAGGATAAAGGCAGGGTGGAAGTGTTGGGAGGGAGGGAGATGATGTCAAAATCCGTTGGCTTCCAGTGTTTCTGCTCTTTTTAGCTGGGGTGCAGTAACCTTCCATCTTACAACTTTGGGTTTCTCTAAACTTCATGCCTGCCTTCTCTACCAATGTTTTATGAGCTGTCACGTGGGACTAGAATAGGATTCTGAAAATTAAGAGCTGCTTTTTATTCCACTGGATATATCAGTTGCCTGGGGCAGTAAAATGATTTGAATTAGTTTTGAAATGAAATGTCATTCGGGGGAGAAAAATACACAACAATTTATTTAATTTAAACAACAGGATGGCAAGGAAGAAGCAGACACCCAAGCTACATTTCATATGTAAAATAAGACGTATGTGACTTTTGGATGCTATAGAAATAAAATTTTTATACTGAGGGGCATAATTATCCACATAAATCTTATATGAGGAACACAGATCAGTACAAAAATAGCTGTACTTTTTGGTTATCTTGGAGGCAATATCTAACCACATAAGGTAAAATTGGATGCTGTTTGCTTTCTCAAAAAGCTGTGAGTATGTCTTTCTGTTCCAGAAAGTGCTTAGTGCAATTAAATGAAAATATACTGAATACATGAGTAAATTCATAAATAGAAATACAAATGAAATTTCTAAAGTAGGTCCTGGTGAGCCCAAATTTTACAAATTATTAGAAGACAATGCACCTGGAAACTAAGACACTAGCTTGAAGACTTTTTTCATTTCTTTTCTTTTCTTTCTATTTTGTTCCTTTTTTTTTTTCTTTTTTTTTTGGTTGTCATTGTTTTGAGACAGTGTCTCACCCTTGCGCCTAGGCTGGAGTGAAGTGGCTCGATCTCCGCTCATTGCAGCCTCCATCTCCCAGGCTTAAGCGATCCTCCCGCCTCAGCCTCAGGGAATAGATGGGACTGCGGGTGCACATCACCATGCCCGGCTATTAATTTACCTTTGTATTTTTTGTAGAGACGAGGTTTCACTATGGCTTCAAGACTTTAAAAGGCAACAATGACTCTTTTGAAATTGCCTGCATTATCAAATGCCTGAAGTCAACCACAATGAATGGTGACTATGGTTTCTCCATGACACTAGCAATCCTCTGAAATAAAGGAAGTTAGAATTCCAGAACACCTCTGGGTCTCTGACTCTTCCTCAGTGGCTTCCAGGAGTTTAGGTCAGCCTGCAGGCCCGACGGGCACCCCCCGACACCCCTCCACACAGATTCTTTACATCTCCCTCCCTACCTTGTTTACGCTCTAAGGGGGAGGGAAATGAACAGTCAGTCAGGTGAGACCCAGCAGGGGGAGTGGTGAGCTGGTCCGAGGGCAGCCCGAATATGTCCCTGGGTGTGGGTATGGGTGTGGGGCAATTTGGGTGGGAGCAGCGTGGAGGCTCCCAGGACCAAGTCCTGCGCCTCTTTGGCGGGGTGTGTGCAGGAGGAGCGGGGATAAATAGGAGGCTCCCTCCTCCCGACGACATTCACGGAGCCGGCCGGCCGCCCGCCCTGGGTGTTTCCCTGCCCTGTAGCCAGGGTGCCAGCCTGGGAAGTAGTTTCGTTTCCTTCTGGCTCCGGGATTAGTTTCCAGGCACCCTCTCAGGCGCCCGAGGCCCGGGAAGGGGGCGAAGAAGGAGGGAGACTTGTCTAGGGACTGCCCGGCCCCGCAGAGCGGGTTTGATGGACCGGGCCGCCCCGGGCAGCGGCGCCAGCTCCCTGCCACTGCTCCTGGCCCTTGCCCTGGGTAAGTGGCCGTGCTGGGCACTGGAAACCATCAGGAAAGTCTGGGGCTGGAGTCGCGGGGAGGGTGAACCCTGAACCGAGCTGGCATCTGGACAAGAGGGCGCGCTCGGGCTGGCAGGCGCGGGTTGGAGAACTTTGAAGGCTGGGAGAGCGCGAGGTTAAAGATCTGGCAATTGGGCACCTGGGGCTGCACCTGTTGGAGGCAGTCCCTAGACGCGCGAGGAGGCCCGAGGGCGGAAGCGATTCCGAGGTCCTCGCTGCCAGTGCTGCAAGTAGGCCGCCAGCTGTTGCCTTGTGCACACAGCAGAGGGCCTGGCGGCGCCGGCGGGGTATTCACCGCGGTGAGGCGCTGTGCCCGCGAGTGAGGGCGGGGTGGGGGCGAGCAGGGAAACCCACTAAAGAAGCTCACGTGGAGTATAGACCAAGAAGCATATCCTGCAGGAGGCAGAAGAACGGGAACTCTTTGACTGGAGGTGTGATCACCTGGCGTTAGGGAACAGTGCCAGCAGGAGGAGAAGTAGCAGGATGCCTAGAGCCCTCCAGAGGGTCTCTCCTGCCTCCTTAGGAGTCAGAACTCACAGAGCAGAGCTAGAACTTCAGATGCCGCTGGAAGCAGGCCTCCCCTTCCCCTCCCCCGAGGAAAGGTAATGAGAAGGCTTCTAGGTAGGAAAAATCCCAACTCCTCAAAGTATACTCTCTGCATCATGGTCATTTTGCGGGGCAGGGAAGGGAACCCAGTGACATTTTCTAATCTTAGCTGGGCTGTAGACATATCTGGGTTTGGAGCATTTATGTGGTAGGAGGAGGGTCTCCACAGCTGAAGTGTCACCACGATATCACTCCTACCCTCAAGCCTGGGAAGGGGACACCACAAATGAAAAAGAATGGGAATTCCTCTTATGGAGGAAAAAGAGGGGGAGCCTAAATGAAAACTTTCATTTGACTGTGTCCTTAGAGTAAGAGAGGTGACTAAAAAGGTACAGTGAACTTGGTTGGAGGTGGATCAGACTTAGGACCAAGGTTAGAGAAAATAAACTTATTTAACAAACCCTGAAGGGGAAGGAGTCAGTAGCAATTTAGTGGTAGAGTGAATGTGTACATTCATGAAGAAGAGCAATGGGGCTGAAACTTAACCGCAGAAATCGTCCTGATGCTTTTGCCAGCATTGCTTGCATGTCGCTGACATTCTCTTCCTCCACCATGTCTAAACTGTACAACAATCAAAGTATTCCCTGAGAATCTGTCATAGTCAGCCAGGTGCTGAGGTATGTAGGAATGGAGGTGGGGAAAGGGCTCATGAGATTCCTAAAATAAAACATGATTCCTGCCCTAGAACTTACACTGAATTTGGAAATGCAAGCCCAGCAGTGTAACCTGTGGAAAAATTCATGAAATCAGAAAAGGGAGAGAGAGGTCAGCAGTGGGGCCTGAAATAGTGGGGAAAGGCTGAATGGAGGGCACCAATGCGTGCCTTGAGGCTTGGGTAGAGTTTGCAATAGTAGAGAGGAAAGAGGGAACAGAGACCAGGGAGAAAGCATTAGTGAAGGGTTGGTGATGTGAATGAGCGTGCTTTACTGGAAAGAGTAGAATTTCTGAGGGGCAGACACATTATGAAGAACTGAAAAAGCCAGATTAGAATATTTGGAAAAGAATCAATAAGCTGTTACACACACACACCATCACAGGGCTTGACTAGGGAGTCATATGATGCAAACAATGATTTAAAGGTGATAAATCTGGCAGTGAGGTGCAGTATAGGAAGGGGGTGGTGCCTGTGGGCCAGAGGACCTGATTGTCTCATAGGTGTAATATGGGCATGAGCTAATTGGGGCCTAAATTAGGGTGATGTTTTAGCAGAAGTGTCATAGTAGAAATGACTATTTAAAGTCGATGGACATTCTTTCCCCTTTACTATCACACAATATTTTCTTCTCAGAAGTTGTCAAAAGACAGAAATGAAAAACAAAAAGCAAAACTCTAATTTAGTGCTATTGTACACTCAGGGTAACCTAAATGTACAACCCTCCTGTTAAATGATTGGCTTGGGAAATTGAATTTGGTCTCTAGATCCCCTTAAAGCTCTACTTCTTGCAGAATGCCAAAGGATGTAATTTTTTGGCATCACTGTTTCCATTAAGTGGTCCTATTTCTGTCACACACACTTTACTTTGAAGTCCCTTTCCTAAATTATGTCACGTGTTGTTCCATTGACTTTTTGAAAACAATGTGAGCAATAAGATGCATGAGGCACTGGTGTGTATGTGTGTGTGTGTGTGTGTGTGAGAGAGAGAGAGAGATGGTGGAAATGCGATGAGAGTGGGCATTGAGCAGACATGAGCCCTGGTTCCGGTTCTGCCATTTCATGACTCTAAGATGTCTGTAAGTTACAGCTTTCTGGGCATTGTTTTTCTCATTTGTAAAATGAAGAGGTTTCGTTAGATGGTGTTGCCCTTTCCATGTCACATTCTTTTCGAAAAGTAAACAAAACAACATGTGATGTAAATTAGAAATGGCTTATGTTTATTATAAATGTAGATGCTCCTTAAATACATCTGGCATTTAGTAGATGGATCTTTACAGGATAACTTCCATTCTAACATATGCAAATTGTATACTACTTTCTTTAGGAAATTTTATAAAGACAGAAGTGGGTTTGGAGATATAAAAAGAAGGTATACCATAAGCAGATTATATGGTACAAATACATTTAATATAAATATAAATTATATGTTTATGTGTTATTGATATTCTTTATATGCATTAATTTGGTTTTATTTTCTAAAACCATTTAAAGGTGTTTTCTAAGTCAGTAGAAATCCTTTCTCAAAAAATGAGATTTTCCAAAAAGGGCTCATATTTCTCTACTGTATTTTCTCTTTCTTTTTTTCTTTATCTTTTTCTTTTTCTTTTTTTTTTTTTTTGAGAGAGAGTCTCACTCTTTTGCTCAGTCTCGGGTACAGTGGCATGATCTCTCAGCTCACTGCAACCTCCGCCTCCAGGGCTCAAGTGACCCTCCTGTCTCAGTCTCTCCAGTAGCTGGGACAACAGGCACTCGCCACCACACCCGGCTAATTTTTGTATTTTTTGAAGAGATGGGATTTTGCCATGTTGGCCAGGCTGGTCTTAAACTCCTGGTCTCAAGAGATCTCAGCAGATAAATATTTGTTGCTGAATTAGGTAGGGAGAGATAGGACATTCAAGTGCAGAATGTCCTATCTAGGGAGACATAGGACACTCAAGTGCAGAGATGTCACATTGCGTATAACAGGAAAAACCAATACTGGAAACCAGTTCTTTTGACTTATTTAAAAAGCATGTAAGCTCATCCTAGCTGTCTCCTACACCTTTGCTTCCCCTATTGCCTACCCACACATCTGTGCCATCCCTGGCTCTGGCTATTCTCTGGCAGATTCTTGGACTCCTGGCTCTTCCTTGCTTCCAGGAAACCCTGCTTCTCCTAGCCCAGGGCCAGGCTAGCCTGGCTGATAATGTTCAGTTGGTATTGGTCAGACTAGGTGCTTTATTTTGGACTGTGTCTGGCCTGTGTCAGTCTGGACATCCTAGTCTGATTCTATCCTTGAACATGTGGGTGACTCCTGTATATTCTCTAGTCTGCTTAGAGCACCAACACCTAGGGGATGCTCCTTTGGGCAGGTGGAGAAGGGGTGACATTGCTTCATAGTGTCTCTGATAGAACCCACATGGTAATTACTGAAAATTGGTAAGAAGAGCATATCTTGAGGCAGGGTCATGTAGTGGTCAAGCCTGTAGACTTTCAACCAGACCTTTGGGGCATGGCCCCCTGGTGCTGTGACTTGCTGGCTCTGAAACTTTGGGTAAGTCTCTTGAACCTACTTGGCCCAGTTTCCTCACCTGTAAAACCTAATAGTAATAGGACCAATGCAATTATGTGAATTAAATGCATTACTATGTAAAGCACTTAAAATGTGCCCAAAACATAGAATAAGCACGAGTTATTATAATAGACAGTAGGAAAGCACAGGACAAATCATTAATTGTTATCAATACCTCTTAAAATTTTTTGACATTTTGATTCTGGATACTTCCTGAATGTCATCAGGTTCTACTAATTAATGGGAAGACTTTTTGTTGCCTTCATTTCTCAAATTCCTGCTCCCACTAGTTATGAAATAGGTAATAGATAAAAATCCTCAAAAACAGTTTTATTTTGACTGGTTTCATTAAAAAGGAACAAATGTAAAAAATAAAGCTGCAAAAGGAAAATGCATATCTACTCTTGAAAAAATAAATACCTCTACAGATTCTTCTTTCCCTGCCAATTTTGATCCTAATTTTATGCAATGAAGAGCTTTACTGCACTTGCCTAGCATTTATATCAGACAAAACAGTTAGACTGCACTAGCAGAGTAAAATAAAATATTTAGAAGGTAATTTTAATATTTTAGGAAATCTCATCAAAATTGGGTTGTCAGATTTATTTGAATTATATAAGGAATTGCCTTAATTAAAAAGAAATAAAACTGTCATTTTAGAAGAATGGATGATGATGCAATGCCAAAAGTTGTTTCCATATGTAAGAAAAATACATTAATTTAGCAAAGTTTTCTTAGGACAAAATAATTTCTTCAGATGTTGAAGAACAGATAGCCATGCATAAATATTGTTATTTTATAATGGTTGCTTTGTAACATTGAGAAAGTTGCTTAAACTCCTTTTGTGTAATTCTCTCACCTATAGAATTTTAATAAAGGTAGCTATCATTTAGAGACACAGAATTATTTTGAGGAAAAAATGAGAAAATGCAGGAAAAGATTTTAGAAGAATAATTGGCAGGTAATATTCAATGTATTGTTACTATTTTACCTTTGTGAATATTCAGATAACTTTTCAATTATTTCGTGGGTATTTGTCTAAAAAGAACTAGAATCAATGTTTATTAAGCCAGTTGGAGTGTTAGAGTTTGTACTTTGATCATAGGAAACTGCCATAATAGTCAACACTGGAGGCAAGAAAAGGAAA